GCTAGCCCTTGGAGAAAAGTGGTATTGTTTTGGATGAGGTGGTATTTCCTCCGGTATTTATCATATCTCATGCATTTTTAAATAATGTGCAATGGGTCCTTGATGAAGGTTACATGTCGAACATTTATCATTTTTCAAAACTTTAATTAATGTCAAGCCGGGATTTGTTCGACCAAGGTTAATTCTTAATCTTGTAATTAAGACTATTTCTTTTCTGTTTAACTTAACACAAGTGTTAGAGAACCATGGGAGTAGAGAGACGTTAGGTTGGATAGTGAAATGATCTTTACCTTTCCAACTTGACTCCCAGGCATACCTATCCTGCCATCCACTAATAAAGTGTTTTTTCTCCCATCTGCAAATTTCCTGTAAAAGCAGTTTCGCATTTTCTGCCCTTCCAGAACCCCGCTTTGCTATCATATCAGCTCGTTCATTCCCATGTAAACCTACACATCCTGAACCTTAAGAACCCATTGAACCTTAAATTTGTTGTTTGTTGAACGATGAACTTCTATTATATTATTTATTAAGTACGATGAAATATGTTGTCGATGTATGTTTTTGAGTGAATTGCATACTGCAGAAGGATCAGTTAGAATTACGACTTTTTTATTCTTATATTTTCTGTTGCCTATTTTGAAAGCTTGAACGACACCTTATAATTCATCACTGTATATGCTAAACTTTGCACTGAGATTTATGGATGTATTCTGGTTATGTTGGACATCATATATCCCGACTGAAACTTTGTTTTAATCTTTAGATCTGTATACATTTTTTGATAATTTTTATATTTTCCAGACAATATTTTGAGTGTTTTCTGTTTTAAAACCGATGGTAGATAGTGTATTTTGGTCAAATCTGATTGTAATAGTTTGGGATTGGTTTTATGATAATTTGTGATTTTGGAATGGGAGTACATTGGCTGAGTGGTCTGGGGTTGATGGCAAGTGTATTAAATAGATGGTTTGTAGTATGATAGATGGTTTGGCTTGGAGTATGATTCCTAGGTATCAAGAAACTATCAAGCATTCAAACCCTGTTAAGCGACATAAATGAGAACAAGACCTCGCTGATATCAAAGATCAATTAATTTTACATTGATTAACTGGGTTTTATCAAAATCGTTAGAGCCAATACCTAATCTCAATTCCGTACGACCTTCCATTTTTGAGCTGTTCTGTTCTTGTAAACATCTTCTCCCCTACCCACACTAACACATACCCATACACAGACCATATTACCGGATTTGGTTGTTTGGATTCAGTGAACTTTTCACGATCACAATACTTTCCCTTATTATATATTACATATATACACTCAGTGTCAAAATGTTAGACAAACTTAAAAAATTGTCATCCTTACCCTCTCATCTTTTCAAATTACCTGTAAAACAGTATTAAAATAATTCATAACTCACTCGAAGTTAATCAGCAGCCTGCTCGTACTTTGGTTCTCAAGCCAAAAAAACATACATTTTTGTTTTTAATTTTTCGAATTAAAGTTAAGGCCCCTCAAAATCTTAGACATGCCCCCTGGTAAAAATAAATAAAACTCATTTTAATACTTCGTGGCCTTTATTTATTAAATTAAAAATTCTGTTTGCTAGTGAATCGTACAGTTGTTTGATTGTTTCTTGAGGTAATTATTTCCATAAAGCCAGAATTGCAGATTTCAAAACTTCGATTGTTCCGTGTTGTCTCAGAGTATACCCTTCTTTAAAAAGTTCTCCAAACATTTTTGATAATATTAGGGTCTGGGGAGACAGCCAGTCTGATTTGACAATTTTGTTGCGAGTAAATCAGTCTTTAATAATTTTTGCTGAATTATTTGCTTTAATTGCTGAACATATTGGGGCGTTATGTTGCTGGAAAAGTGGTGTTCCTAGACATTTCATTGAAAGTAAACTTTTTTTCCTCTAACAAATTTTTATATTCAGCTGAGTTTACTCTCGATGAAACAAATACCAAATTGCCTTTCTTTTTGTAACCAATTGAAGCCCAAAATATAACTTTCCCTACTCCCATTTGTCGCCACTATATATTTTTTTCTTAAATCATGAAAATAATACGAAAATCCACCTGACCCATCCAGATTGATTTTTTTTTTTTTTTAATCACTAACGATGACTTTCTTTAACTCCTCTGTCCATGACATCACATTATGAGCAAAGGCCATCGGGGCTAATTTGTGGCGGGTACTCAAAACTGGCTTTCTTTTTAATTTTTTTCTAACTATTGTTTTTGACTTTTTTAATAATCTTTGGACATTCCTTAGTTTTGTTTGAACTCCAGCTTCCAGTGAATCAGCAATTTGCTCTTGCTGTTTAACAAGAGTTTTTTTTTTTTTTTTTTTGTTCTTCCCTACCTCGCCTTTTAGGCTATACGGGATTTTCCCGGGCCAGGGGGTGAGGGCGGGGAATTTAAAATCCCCTCCGGCACCGGGACGCGAACTCGTACTTTTTATATCATCTCAAATCTCTGATATCCGGTTGCCAGGCAACTAGCGGTGCTGTTACACACGCTTTAGCCTATTCGGCCACCCCGTCCCCTCGACTTGTTTTACAAGAGTTGGATGCGATTCGAAAAAAATATTCCGTTTATCTCATAATATCAAAGCAGGGGACCTCCCAGTAGAATGGTGGGTACCATATGTCTCCCCGTGCCGAATAAACTTCGCGACCGATGAAAAGTCAGCTTGATTCGGCGGGCTATTTCCCTACAACTCATCCTGTCCTTGTGTAGTGGAGAAATCAAACGGCCCTCTTCTTCGGAGAAACACTTATTTTTTTCCATACTCACGTTCTTTTTAGGTCTATTTTGAAACACATTCAACACTGCACTGAAGTAGAAATGGTATTTTAACGATTTCAACTCTAGAGGATTAAGAAAATAGTAAACAACAAAAAGTGTGCCTATCATTTATACTTAAAAAACTTACCTATGCTTAAAAAAATAATACCAATCGAAAATAAAGATAAAATGAAACTTTTGTTAATTTCAATGGGCGTTTCTTACATTTTAATACTGAGTGTAGATAAGAGAAAGTAAAAGTATTATAAAAAAATAAATACACAACTACTGGCTGCATTCTCTTCTAGTTTTAATAATATCAAATCATAGAAATATTAAAATTAAAAATCGAATACCTTTTGTTAAGCACGACGTAGATATTTATAAAATATGTATATTTCAAATAAATATTGAATTATTTTGTCAGTATTTTAGGTTACCGGGAGCCACTGACTTTATAAGTTCAAGTTCCCGGGTTCGAATAGTGCTGATAGCAGGTAATTATTTATTCTATTAAATCAACAATGGATCGATCTTGAGGTAGACCTAGCCTTTATGAAGTGGCTACTATTAATGAAGGCAAAAACATGAGGATTGAGCGTAATCTCGGCCCCCATCACTCCCTGCATAACTGCTGGACTTCAAAAAGTACTTCCAAAGTACTGAACCCAAGACTCTTCACATGGGTTTTAGTGATACAGTTTTTTTATGTTTTTGTTTATTTTTTTATTATTACTAAAGGTTACCAAAAAATAATAAATAAATGAAAAGGTTCAAGTTTAAAAATGTACACCATCACTCCAACTTACTTGTAATGACCATCATGCAAGATGAGGAGATGCTTTATTTTTAAAAATAATCTCTAAAGCAATCTATGCTCCTATTGGCATTTTATTATTTCTGTTAACTTAATTAATATAATGACATGCTGCCTCATCATAAATACAACCCTCCAGAACTTATCCAGAATTAAGAAGTAAAACTGTCTGAAATCATTCATTTACAACATGAGAGCAGGGTGACCGAGTGTTATAACGCGTTTCAATACATGCGTTGCCTGTCAACCTGAGAACCTAGGAGTTAGGGTCGCGGTGAGGGGATCATTTAATTCTAGGATTGTTTTCTCTATCTTTCTATCCTGTCCCAGGAAAAATCCTGAACTTCGAGGTTTATAAAAAAAAAAAGTCGTTTACCTTATAACAGATCTTTCCGGGATTGTAAAAATTGGATACGGGAAGAATTTGATGTTTTTGTAGAGCCCTAAAGCTCAATACCTAATCTCTAAATGGGCCTGATGATGGTGGCGTGAATAAGTTTTTTATAGAATATTAGAAGTTCAGTGCGTTTGTCAAATAAGTGTTGTAGTGGTCGGAATCTGTTGGCAGTTTCTTGTCTTTTAAATCTAGTATGAGGATTCCAGGTAAGGCCTTTCTCAAGAAGGAGTCCCGGGTAACGGATCTGTTCGACATGGATCAGTGGAATATTGCCTGGTAGAATTGAACACAAAAATGTCTCGATGATCTCCTAATTGGTTTGATGACTGAGGAAAGAATCGGAACGATTTTATTTTGGTCCATCTTCTAAAGCGACGTTCTGCTCTTTGTGATAGAATCCATTTTGCCGACCGTCGTGGATTTTTATAATGCTTGTAAGCCCGTTTAGGAAACATTACGGAAATGATACACTGGAATTTGACAGTTCTAAAAACTGGGCAATTCTATTTACAATATATTTGATAGACAGGTCTATCAACAACCAATAATAAAAATCTTAGTTTTTACTGATTTGAATGAAATCAGTAGATTTAGAGAACTGAACAGAAATTTAGAGAACACCTCATAACTGTCCTCATTGCAGAATCCATTTAGTTCTCTTTCGCTTAGTGATGCTTACCCATTTATTGGTTATAATATAATCTAGTTAAATCAGTCCCTGATTATTCCTTAATCATGTTTCTTTTTTAATTCAGACCATTACTAAGATGATCGAAAGCTTGTAATTGGTATTCATTAGGGTATAGTGATAAAAATTTCATTAGATTACCTTAAAGTGGTAATTTATTTAAAGAAGCGGTGGAATCCATTGATTGTGAATCGTATACAGACGTATGACAACAAGAGGGGACAGAAGTGGATTGGCGACTTGTGTCGTTGAACCGAGAACAAGCTGGTTCTCCCCAGCTGGAGGGGACTGGTCCTATAAAGGCTCCTCCACCTTGGATAGGGCTTATCAGTCTGCTTAACATGAAGGTCGTCCTAGCTTTGCTCTTCTGCACTGTTGTAGTCGTCTCCGCCAAGCCCGGGGCACCCAAGGCTACATACACCACCAAGTACGACAACATCGACTTGGACGAGATCCTCACCAATGAGAGGCTCTACAAGAAGTACTTCGACTGCTTGACCAACAAGGGCAAGTGCACTCCTGATGGAAAGGAGTTGAAGGGTGAGTATAGCTCGAGATAAACCTATCAATTATTATAACTTTTTTTTAATCATATATTTCAGTTCTTTATTAAAACAGGTTTAATCTTCTTGCATAAGAATTTTTGTTAGTGAATGAAAAATTAGGATTAGCGATACAAAAGGTTTTGTACTAACAAGCGGAGGTCACAGTCAGTGATTAGCGATTTAAAACTTTTTTTTTGTGATTCTACCACAAAAACTATTGGACATATGTTCGTTTTCGTCGCCATGGGCCTTGGGAGCAGAGAAAAAAGTATTAATTTTAAAAATATTCTTTAGTCTTTTTGTCCGGATTTTCTATATTATTATATATCAACCGATTTATTTTTTGAGGGGAGGGGCGAAAGAGGGGACAAAATATGAAAAAAATATTTCTGACTGTATTAAATAAGTCATGTATCATACATTTCGAATTTAACAAAAGATATTTCAAGTAAAGTAGAGTAAGTAAATGTTTGCAATGAAAAAGCAATCTATATTCTTTTTTATTGGTGACTTTAAAACATTTTTTTTTTATTATTTCTTAATGATATTTACAACTGTATTGAATAAATACATCTAATAAAATTGAAAATAATGGATATAATGGCATGAAACCACTTGCTGAGTAACTACCCAATGGTAGCACTCTAATGATACTTCTACATTAGGAGATCACGGGGCCATCTTCTTTTCAGACGCCTCGGAGGGTTATCAGGAATTGAAGAGAAAGCAAGGTTAGAAACGAGAGGGTGGGATGATTCTGAAATTTATTATGGAAGGATAAGTGGATTGGGCCAGATCTGAAACAAAAGAAACATTAAGATCATGAGGGATGGTTTTATTTGTAACAAAGTAGTGAGCATTGAGGATTTTACGAAGGATTTTGGATTGTAAGGATTGGATACGAGAGGAATTCGAGGGCTTAGTCGAGCCCCAGAGCTCAATTCCGTAAGTCCAAATAGGTCTTATTGTAGTCATGTATATGAGTCTTTTGTAATTAATTGGAAGTTTAGAGCGTTTGTCTAGTAAGTGCTGAAGTAATCGGAAACGTCGCACGGTTTCTTGTCGTTTCAGTCTAGTATGAGGATACAAAGTCCGTCTTTTGTCCAGGTGGAGTCCTAGGTATCGGCGTTGCTCAACAGGGATAAGTGGAGTATTGTTAAAGGACACCTTAAAACATTTAAATATGCGTTTTTATAGAAAAAAAAATACCAATTTTACTACTTGATTTACTTGGGTTTTTTTGAACTGTCAACTAAAGCATTATATACATCCAGAATTTTCTCTTAAATCAACATAATCACAACTATTGGAAAGCTATGTCGATCGGCATAATTTAACAAGCTATACCTGAAATGAATTTTGTATTGATATAAGTTAGAACGAATGTCCGGACATATATCTGATATTTTTCTCAATGAGGATACATAGAGAACTATATTTTTCAATTAAAAAAAAAACATATATTATTAATATTAATCAAAGATTTGATTTTTTTGTTTTTTTAAATATGAAGACAAAAAAATATATTGTGTAGAGAAATAATTTTTTTTTCTTAACTTAAAATTTACATTTATATTGGAAAACAAAATGCGGAATCAAGAAAAAACTAAACCTGTTATATGTATAATCGAATTGATTTTATCTCGTATCGAACGGGAATTTTAATCAGAATCCGCTAAAATAAAATTTTATTATATTCTGTCGGAAAATAGTTTTGGATTAATGCAATTTTTAGGTTCTAGTTTTTGGATAATGAAATTTGGTGTTGTAAGAGGGCGTTACAAATTTAAAAAACAGAACATCTTTAAAAAAAAAATCATTAGTTCGAAATTTTGGTAATTAATTTAATATAAGTGGAAATGCAATGTTCTTCTTGTGGCAACAAAAAACCCCAAATGTTTGTGCTTATGGTCACTCGACATTGTTTGGCACGTTTTGTTGGCACCCCGACGCATCTTTAGAACTACACTTAATCCAAAACCTACAAAATAACAATACATTTTTTAACTATAAATTGAGAATAGCAAATTAAATGGAAGGTTCTGGTAAAAACTATAATCAATGATTGGATCCACCGATTTCCTAAAAATTATTAATGCTGTAAAAATGCGGCCAAAAAAAAAATATTAAAATATAAAGCAATCATTTAATAAAATAAAATTGGTTTAAAAAATTACTCTGAACATAATTCGAAATATTTAAATTTAGAAATTAAAATAGCTAAAGTGAGCTGTAATATTGCTCTTTTCTTATTAAAGTATCATTATTATATTATTGAGAATGTTAGAGGTGCTGACTGACCTGACCACAAAGTGGGCCTTCTATCTTCTATGTCACTATGGCCTTAACGTCATCTCCAAGGATCCACCCTTTCTTCCTCTCTCTCTCACACACACAGCCTTTTTCACTCGTTATTTCTCTACAAGTGTGAATTTATTGTAATACTTTGAATTATAATTTTTATGACCTATTTTAAAAATACAAAATGATTATATTTACAAAATTTTGAAAAATATTTATCTATTTCAAGGTGATGTTAATTAAAACTTAATAGAACATTTTGCATTCTCAGTAATGAATTTAAGATAGCTTTGTAATCGTATGATGTATATATATATATATATATATATATATATATATATATATATATATATATATATATATATATATATATATATATATATATAAAATGCCCTTTGAAAGAATTTCTAATTATAATTTATATTTTTTAGTACATCAAGAAACAAATTTCTCTTAAGTATCGTACATTTCCGAGATGGAGTAAAGCTGGAAAAAAGTTCTGAAAAGGATGAAATTTAATTTGGCAATACAAGAAACATATATCATCGACTTACAGCTCTTTTAATTATTTTATAGAAATATATACTATACATACACACGCACGCGCATTTATGCATATTTATGTATAAATTAGTTGACTAATGATATGGCTGCGGCTGATAGATCCATTCAAAGGCGACTAAAAACAGCTCGATGAGAGACCGATGACTACTATATTCCCTATGCTTGAAATGTCATTATTATTATTACAGGTGTGAATAGATAAACGAAAAAAAAAATTACTTGAAAATTTAAACGATAAACTAGACTAGTAAGACGGTTAATATTGTTGACGCTAGGTTTGTTTTGTTATTTAATCCGTTTGGAAAACTCTGTAAAACAGAGTGAATTTTTTTATTGCTGAATGATAACAGAAGCAAACACAATATTATCATATGTTTTCCTCTTTCAGATGTGCTGCCGGACGCCCTGGCGACCGATTGCAAGAAGTGCTCCCAGAAGCAACAGCATGGTTCGGAAAAGGTCCTCCGACACCTGATCGAGAAGAGGCCGACCGACTACAGCGCCCTGGAGAAGCTGTACGACCCCACCGGCAGCTACAAGCGCAAGTACAAGGCTGAGGCAGAGAAGAGGGGAATCAAGATACACTAAACCTGAAACGAAAAGAGGAACGCAATGGAATAGAAACACATTTTCGAATAACTTAATTTAACAAAACGAATTGTCAAAATAAACTCTTAGGTATCCCTTCATTTGTCTTTGGATTACACACATTCATTATAAAATTCTTAAAAAATATAAATATTCATACAATACTGGTTTTATATTATTTAACTTAACCAATTGCTGTAGCAAATATATAATTAGCAGTGGTGTAACTAAGGATGAGTAGTACTCACTATGTGTGAGTTTTTCTTGTGCGCCCTGGTTTCTCCTCAAGAATAAATAAGTAACCCACTATCAGAACATGGGAACCAAGGAGACAACTTCCTCCGGGTCACGTGGAGGTGCAAATCAAAATTAACTCATGTGGAATTCTCCTAGTTCAATTTTTCCAAAGAAATATGTCTAATAATTCAAAAAGTTCTATAAATAACAAAAATTATGTAATCCTTCATGACCAACCTTAGAATTGATAATGTAACCAACCTTTTACAAACTTTCCACAACAGTTAATTTAGTTAATTTTCCGCAGTTCAATTAACTTAATCATTAATCTGCAGTTTGGAACCGTAGTGATTATTGAATTGAGAAATGAGATGAAATTATAAAATCCTCAGTTAGAGGAAGATATCTTTCAATCAAGATATCGCGTTGGGCCTCATTACTTCTTCCTATGCCACTACCAATGCAATTTTTTTCAATTCAATTTACATCCTACTGACACATAATGAATAAGGCATAATTATTCTTAACATAAATAAATAATTCTTTTAATTTTTAATTTTCTTGAAATTGCATCCGTTTATCAACTGCTTCCCCCCTTATCATCCTATCGCTATGCAATGAATAGGTGGTCTATTATGATAGAGTACAGAATAAAAAGGAATTTAATTAATAAGAAGCTTGGAACCAAAGAGAATGGCGTGGTTCTTCTCAACGTTTAACCTTAAGCCACTGCTTCTTGCCCAAGTGTTAATACTGCCTGTAGGCTTCGGATCCCCTTAACCGCGAACGGTTGCATGGAGTGCAATAGCTGGACAGAATTAGGTTCTTTTATCCTTTTACGTACACTTATACTTTAACTCACAGGTATTTCTCGCTTATACTATCTGCTACCTGATCATCAAATTTGTTTTGGAAAATGTTTGCGAATTCAGTAGAAACGTCTGCTTGTTGCATAAAATACAACACTCGCCCGCTAGTCTACCTAGTATTATTCTAACTTCACTCTATTACTGAAATACAATATATAAATACTACTTTATGGTAAAAACGATTCAATGGAATTGTAATGGTTACTACCGACACATCGAGTACTTTAGAAAACTAATGACTGAAGAAAACCCTATTTGTTGTTGCTTACAAGAAACACACCTCAACGATAAGCAAATAGTAAAATTGCGAAATTACAAAATATTCAGAAAAGATAGACTGTCTGAAAGAACGTGGGGAGGAGTAGCCATGTTTATCTTAGAGAACATCTATTGCGAAGAACTACCATTACAAACTCAAATTGAAGCACAAGCTGTCAAGATACACTTAAACGAACCTTTGACAATCTGCAATATATACTTACCATCTTCACAGGAATTCACCGATACAGACATAGAGGGAATTGTAAACCAGCTTCCAAGACCTTTTCTAATGCTAGGAGACTTCAATGCCCACAGCACCTTATGGGGTTCGAAGCTTCCAGATTATAATCACAGAGGTAGAAATATCACAAAATTCCTTGAAAACAACACTTCAACAGTACTTCTAAACTCAGGGGATAACACTCATTTCAGCTCAAAAAATAATAATTTCTCCGCAATAGATTTAAGTTTCTCTGATGCAAGATACTCACCTAAAGTAAAAAATTGGAGTACTAAAAGCCATTTGTACGGAAGCGATCACTTCCCAATTATAATTGAAACATGGGGAAACAGTATTATTATGCCATCGAACACCAGATGGAAATATGAAAAAGCAAATTGGGAAGGTTATAAAAAATCGATTATCCAAGGCTTACGAACCATACCATATGGACAGAATTTAGAAGAGAAAATATTTTATTTTAACGAGTTAATTATTAACACAGCAAAAGAAACTATTCCTACAGTCAAAAATAATATGAAACCTCATGATGTACCGTGGTGGAATCACAATTGCAATGAAGCTATAAGAGCAAAGAAACGAGCCCTAAATCGATACAGAAGAAGTAGAACTGTTGAAAATGCAATCGAGTTCAAGAGACTGCGATCTATTGCAAACAGAATAATCAAAGAAAGCAAGAGAGCATCGTGGAAACAATATGTTTCTTCCATAAACTACCTTACCCCGACGAATGAGATATGGAACAAGATCAAGGCCATCAGAGGAATTAGGAAGCAAAACTTAATTTCAGGACTTAATATTGACGAACAGATCATAACGGATCCACAGGACATTGCTGAAGCCTTTGGAAAATATTTCAGAGAAATATCTTCCTCAAGCTGTAGCGATGACGCGATAAATGATCATGAAATACATCAAAATTACATTTCAGGGCAGAGCCACTCTGCTGAATACAATAGACCATTTCGACTAGATGAATTAAATTCTTCGCTTAATAAGTGCAAAGGAAAATCAGCTTCTGGTCTCGATGAAATTCCAGGAGAGTTCATAAAGCAGCTACCAGAAGCAGGGAAAATATATCTTTTAAATATATATAACAAAATTTGGACAAGCAGAACATTTCCAACTAAGTGGAGGAAATCTGTCATAGTACCGATACCAAAAAAAGAAAAGAGCACCGTTCCCAAGGACTATCGACCCATTTCCCTTATCTCATGCGTTTCCAAAATTCAAGAAAGGATGGTCAATATAAGATTGACTAGTATGCTGGAATGTAAGAATGTCCTTTATCCATACCAATTTGGCTTTAGGCCAAATCGTTCAACTATTGATTCTCTTTTATCATTAAGCTTAGAAGCGCAGGAAGCTTTTTCACACGGAGAACACTTAATATCAATATTTCTGGACCTTGAAAAAGCTTATGACACAATGGAAAGAGGACGTGTGTTGAAGATTTTGGAGGAACTAGGAATAGGAGGAAATATGTGGTATTACATTAAAAATTTTCTAACCAATAGGGAATTTTCAGTAAGGGTAGGAAATACTTTCTCGTCAAACCATCGCTTACAAAGGGGTACCCCACAAGGATCTCCTCTTAGTTCGACCCTATTCCTTCTTGCGATTAATAGTATAGGGTCCATTATCAAGACCCCGACCAAATGTTTCCTATTTGCCGATGATATTGTTATCACAGCCAAAAGCAAATCTATTCCCTATATACAGTGGAGGCTGCAAGAAGTGATGGATAGAGTAAAAGATTGGACAAGGGAAACTGGATTTAAGATATCATCTTCGAAGTCTAAATGTTTACACATTTGTAGAAGTCGAAAGTGTCAGCAGAATAATCCACAAATATTTATAGAAGGTTCCTCAATTGAATATACAGAAAGTCACAAGTATCTAGGAATGATAGTTGATAAGAGACTGAATTGGATACAACATATTACATATTTGAGGGAAGAATGCACAAAAAGACTCGGAATTCTTAAATGTCTCTCACACTCTAGCTGGGGTGCCGATAGATGCACTCTAATAAAAATATACCAGTCTATAATACGCAGCAAAATAGACTATGGAGCGCAGATATATAGTACAACCAACAAAACAATATTGAGGATGTTAGATTCTATACACAATTCAGCCCTAAGAATATGCACTGGAGCGTTTCGAACTTCTCCAATCGACAGCATCTACGTTGAATCTGGAGAAACATCCTTAAACTTGAGACGAGAATACCTATCTCTGAAATACATTGCCAAATTGAAAGCATCTTCCTACCACCCATTAACTCCATATTTATTTTCAGAAGAATCAGAAAGAAACGGACTTAGAAATATAGAAAATAACATTTTTAAACAAGCAATTTACAATGCAACAACTAAAATAAACATGGATACGACCATTATAAGACCCATCCCAGAATTAAAAATGCCGCGTTGGAAAAAAGATAGACCATTTATTAATAAATCTATGACTAAAATTGCAAAGGCATATCCGCTTGAAATACAAAAATATTTTTTAAAGCTAACGGAACAATATAAAAATTTCGATTTTATATATACGGATGCATCCAAAGAAGGAGGTAGCGTAGGATGTGCTTTAGCGAGTAAAGAGAAACAATTACTGTTTAAATTACCTGGAGAATGTTCAGTATTCACAGGAGAGGCCACTGCCATCATGAATGCTTTATATCTTATAAGCGAAACTGAAAAGAACTACTGGGTAATTGTGACGGACTCATACAGCGTTTTAACTGCCATTGACAATCCATATCCTAAAAACTCCATAATTAGGGAAATACTCAATATCTGGTGGGATCTAAAAAATAAAGGAATAACAGTTGTATTGGTATGGGTACCAGCTCATTGCGGAATTTTAGGAAATGAAAATGCTGACAATGCAGCCCATTTAGCAAGAAGTGGAGGAGAAGAAGAGGAAGTGACTAGAGTGAAATATATCACTTTAGAAGACTGGGTACACGAAATAAAGAAAAAACAACTGGCAGAGTGGGAAAAAGAGTGGAGGATCAAAGAGTGTAAGCTGAAAGAAGTGAAACCCAATTGCGATAAATGGCTCACTAGCAACAGAAAGTCTAGGCGTGAAGAAATTATACTATGCCGCCTAAGGATTGGGCACTGCCAGTTCACTCATGGCTATCTTTTAAGAGGTCTAGAAGCTCCTACTTGCGAGAAATGTAACAATACACCGCAAACTGTGAAACACCTTCTAGTAGAATGTTCCCAATTCGAAAGGCTCAGAGAAAAAATAGAACTAGGAAAAACACTAAAAGAAATACTAAAAGACAATGAAGAAAGAGTCTCGATAGTGTTAAATTTTTTAAAAATTGTAAACTACTATAACAGAGTATAAATCATAGAAAACGCCAATGTATATTAATTTTGTTGTTTTATATATTGTTATTACTATAAAAAATAACACAGGTAATATTGTTATTCACATTAGTCTCATCGAGATTCATTTTTTATTATAATAAAACGAAGAAAGTGGTAGATATTATGCACTGCATGATAAAAAACTATTCAATATCACAATTAAA